CCGCGGGAACACAGTTCACATGTGCGGCGGGCAGATGCGGCTTTCGCACAGACCGGGAGCGCGCACTGTACGTTTCCCCCGAACGGGTGGGGAAATCGTTCAAGATGTGAGAAGTGATGGGAAAACACACACGCGTGCGCGCGCGCACGTGGCAGATCACGTTCACAGCGGAACGATGAGTTCAAGAGACTACGTTTATAAGTAAGAGTGATTCAAAACTCTTACGTCAAAATTTAATTTTCGAATACCAAAAGGATGACATGTTACATCAAGTATGAGTTTTGAACCTAAGCCAACAGCTGCCAAAATATTTATAAGCATTCCTTTTTCCCCCTACAGGAACAAACTCAGTAACCTCGGGCAGAGCTCAGCGGTCCCCAGACCACCAGCCAGGCTCTCTCCCTGCATCTGACACCTTCGGGGACCGACCATCAGAGGGTACGAGGTTAGGATCAAAGCTACTGTCACATCAATTCTTTTCCTTGACAAAGATCTGAAATCTAGATTGAGGATCAGGACAGCAATCCCACACAGGCGCCAACAGGAAACCTTCAATACCCGGCCCATCCCTGTGAGTCCAGGGAGGCAGAACGCAATCTCAAGCCTGGACAGCTTGCGCTGCTCACACCCAGACTCCTTTCCTTCGAGCCTCCGCGGTGTTCTTCTACAGTGGCAAGGCAAAGTGAGGGTGCGTGAGGGGTGCGGACAAGGGTTTCAGCAGAGGTGGGGGGGACACACTGGTCCGTGGAAGAAGCATTCAACTGAAGAAAAGAGAAGCGAAAAAGACCTGCTGGTGACCCCCTGTTCAAGCGCACTATGCCTCTGTGGGAAGGAAGGAAGAGACATGCTCTGCCTGGGCACTGCTGACCTTTTGGGCAGGGCAATGTTTTGTTGGGGGCAGCAGGGCCCATCCTGTGCATTGTAAGATGTTCAGCAGCATCCTTCGCCTTCACCTAACAGATGTCAGGAGTAGCCCTTTCCAAAGCTGTGACAACAAAAAAGACTCCAGGCATTGCTAAGCAGCACCCCTTAGCTTCCTAGCTTCCGTATCTGAGCACCCATCGGAAAAAACCAGCAACCACCGATCAGCATAGCAACATCATTTGGCCACTTGCCTCCTTCCTGGTCCCAGGCCCGCAGGTCCTGGCCTTTTGCCTCGGTCCCCACACCTGTCCCCCATCTCCCTCCATCCAGTGCCATATGCATGCTGCTATGAGCACCTTCTTCTGACGAACACCCAGCCATGTCTCTCCTTTGCATAAAAGCCTCCAGTCTCTGGAGCCCCCACCCCCCACATGGCGTCCTAGGCTTTCCCTTCTTGACCCCACCTCCTCGACCTTCTCCCCCGGCACGCCCTCCTTGCCCAGGTCACCACTGGGGAAAGGCAAACTGTCCTATATTTTCTGCTCCCCGCAGGAAAACATGTCCACTTTGCTCCAGTCTTGGAATCGCCAACCCTTTCCAGGCCCCCTTCACAGAGCATCCCCTGCATGGAGTCTGCCCTACTCTCCCAGGTCAGCCCTGGGACCCATTTCTTTGCTCCCCAGGATACTGCAGTCCGCCTTGCTCATGTGTGTGGACATCTCTACTTTCCTGTGAGCTCCTTAAGGACTAGATATGGCTTCCCCCCCGCCCCCCGCCTCTCCTTCTTCCTCTCCCCAGAGCATGAAGCACAGTCTCCTGCATATTGTAGGTACTCAATAAATGCTTACCAAGTTTACTCTAAATCACTTAAGTCAAAAAACATCTCCCTGCCCTTTGGTTTCCATGCTCTCTCCTTTCCTGTGAATGGCTTCTGGACAAGCAAGGCAGAGAATGGCATAAGATCATAAATCTTAGTGTGAAAGGTTCATCCAGTCCCATCTCTTACACACTGGAAGGTTTCTTTGCACGCCAGCTCAACAGATGGTCCCTAGACAGTGACGGGGACCTTGCTACCTGTGATGCACAACACTCCTTCAAATGCTTAAGTGGGCATTGTTGTGTCAAGCTGACATCTTTCCCCTCCTTAAAATGCCTGCTCTTGGGAGCGGTGCAGCATGAATATAACCCTTTCGAGAAGACAGATCCTTGGCCAACAGGGAGCCAATCATTAGGGTTCCCCTAAGCCTTGTACCCAGCTCTTCCAACCTTTCCATAAGAGCCATGGTTTCTAGATCTTTCCCCATTTTCCTCTTGTCCCATTCATCCCATCCTCGGGAACACCCTCTGGATGTCTTCCTGTCGGCCAAGACTCCTCTTGATGGGAGCCGCAGTGAACACAGCGTTTCCCCCGAGCCCGCTCGAGGACCCATGAGGAATGAATCCCTCCCAATTCAGTACTCTGAACCTGACCTGTGGCCAGATATGGCTGGATTCACTTTATTAACCACAAAAAAATCACACTGCTGGCATATCGTTAATAATTACATTTTCAGATCTTTCAAAAACAGTGTCATGCCAGATCATCCCCAGTCTATATGCGTGGACATTATTATAAACAGACTAGTATCAAACGAAACAAAGACATGAACCAAGCCCTAAATACATGGCTTGGCAGGTTTCCCTGTGACATTTTACTACTGATTTTTCAATCTTGACTTGATGTAGTCAACGGTTTCACTGTTGCATGGAATTTTACTGTCTCAAAATTCCAGGGGTGTGGATTCTGTACCTCCCACCCCTTCTCCGGTGGCGGCCCAGACAAAAACCCAATGCGTGTCTTTGCGTGCTCACCTCACATAGAGAGACTCCACCGGGTGGTTTGTGTGGGAAGTGGTTTTCTCTGGCCTGTCTTGCAGAAACTCTCTAATTAGGTCAGCGAGTCTGATGATGTGAATTAGGGCCATCCAGGCTCCACACATACAGTAATTCAATTAAGGACCAACAGGACCTGGCTCTCTGGGCAGTAATACAATTTTGGTTCCCCAGTGAAAACGGTGAGCAGAGAACTAGATTACCAGAGTCCTGGGGAAGCAGCAAGAGTGCTGGGACCCTAATCTGGGGGAAACATGGAGTCCAGCCCCTTTGTCGAGCGTGCTAATTATGGTAAGAGGATGTGGCGGTGCTCAACGAGGCTTCCCAGTGGGAATGTGAAAAGCTCAGCAAATGACCAGACCTGTCGTGTTCACAGCAGAAATAGGAGAAGGAGGGTCTTGACCAGGAAATGTTAACATAAAGTGCTTTTTGTGTCCTTGTGGATGAGGATGACCAAAAACATATTTTCAAAACTTAAGATTTCCATTCCGGTTGGCTGAAAATTCTTAAAAATTAATGGAAAAATGTTAACATGATCATTGTGCTCGATACGGGGACATATTTTTGACAGTGCTTTCATTCCCTACTCCTTCTGCTCTATTTCACCATCTTTGGTGGTTGAGAACTAACACCAATTAATTAAAAACACAAAATTACGCAGTTTCATTTTTGTGTTTTATGAAAAGCAAATTAACTTCAGCATGCTTCTGAATACATGCACGCTTTTAAAATCGGTTCACTTTGGGTCTTGGTCCTTTCTTGTAACCCTCAAAATGCTTAACGTTGGCAAGACAATCATGAGTAACTGATTCCTAACGAAAAAGATTATCCTACCTTCTTCAATTATCCACATTTTAAAATAACTCTCAGGCCCCAAATAAGGCTTATCCCTGGGACCACTTCAAAGCAGTCTTCTTTTAGGCTTAAATGTGTTGACATTCCTACAAGGTACGGAACAAAAATACGAAACTGTAAGCTTTTGCCTAAAAGTTTATGGGAGCAAAGCTCTCGCTTTATAAGGCGGAACGAGCCCTGGTCATCATCTAGGTTAGCACTGTGTGATCTAAAATGGTGTCAGAGCCTAACAATGTCTAACTGGTCTGGGTTCTGATCCGAGGACATACCACGGCGACGGTAACAGAAGGATGCATTTCACTCACCCTCGCAGAAGCTTGAAAAGCATGCAACCCAGGGAGAACCAGTCGGCACTGCTGTCATACGCTGTCCCCTTCTGCAGCACCTCGGGGGCCATGTACCCATGGGTGCCACTAGGGAGAAGAAAGTGCACACACAGTTATCAGAACACGCCCACCTTACAAAATGGTAACAGCTCAGCCAAGAGGGTCAGATGTCCTTTGTGGAACGGCAGCAACTATAAACACGGGGGAGGGGACAATGGGGGCTCCACACAACATGATGCATGGAACAAAACAACCTTTCCTGTCTGAATTAGTATAAGAATGAATATAAATAAATTACAGTAGGAGATAAATATGAAAACATGCAAGCTCCAGTCTCGGAGGGGAAATCTGAACCATGTCAGTCTTTCTGCACTACAGCTATGAAGAGGTCTCCTGCCTATTCCAGAGCTCTTGTGAGGACGTACAAAGGGTGGGCGTGAGGCTGGGGGAGGGAAAGATAAGCAGGCACCTACAGGTGGTGCCACGGACCCTCAAGGGATGGGGACATCCCTCCTGTGTGGCGCCACCTCTGTGCTAAGTCCTTAGCACATGCTAAGGGTGGGGGCTACTTACTAACATAGTCAGCGACAGACCCCAAGGGGGTGGGGAAGAAGAGGGGGCCCAAGCCGACAGGTACAAAAGATGGAGAGATCCCATGTCCAGTTTTGAGGGCTGCCGACAGACCAAAGGACCCCGCTAAGCAAATGTGAGGATGGTTTTCAGGAAGTTGAGAAAAAGATTTGGGAGGACAACCATTTTATCTTGAATTGCACTATTCTGCAACTCTGAATCCCCTCCTGTTGTACCATTCCCCACCCCTCCTTCAGGATTTGAGCGCGCACTGTTCCTTCTAGAAGAGCGAGAGGAGGCTCGTGGGGGGCTTTCAAAGATGCAGCCCGAAAGGGTTCCTGCAAAAGCTACGCCCTCCAACCTGTCCACCCTGGCTGATCTTCCTTGACAAGGTGGGTGCTAAGACAACACCTCTATCGCATGGGGTTTCCACGCAGATTCCACGTACGTAAGGGGTTTAGAAGGGTGATGGCACAGAAGAACAACTTGATCCACGTCAGGGGTGTTCTTCTCTAGTCTTATTTTATTAGAGTCACGTTTAAGTTATGCTCGCTCATAATCATTCCCGATCCAGGATCAGGACTGGGCTCTAAAGCGTTCTCACTTTGGAAGATGGCTCTCAAGCAGTGAAAATGGGCGCTGGTCCATCATGGCAGGCCCAGCACTTGAATGAGCTACACTGTCTGGAATCTGAAGTCTGACCGTGTCAGGCCAGCTGTGAGGGCACGGGAGGGTTCTAGGAGGGGCATCCGAACCAGTCTCGGGGAAGGGTTCATTTCAGCGCTGCCCAGAAAGACCTTGGTGGTGACCTGCAAGCCTATGATTCCCAGGATCAAAACCCATGTCTGGGATGGGAAAATACTACAAGGATAAACACAGGGGGCTAAGCTGACACCGGACACAATCAGAGCTGGATCCCGGACCCCCTGCCACGTGGCTTTCTGATTCTGCTTGTATGGCAGCAACTGCTGCTTCCCCACATTTCCCACTGAAGAGCCGAACTACTCTGAACCCTGAAAGAACGCCTGGAGGTTCTGAGACACTGTGGCATGAGACACAGCCTTGCTGTCTTAGAGAAAATAAGCTGGAACTCCAATCCGGCACTGGTAATCTATTCAATCCCGAAAGCCTTTCTCTGCTTTCTCAGGACTACCGCATAGTTAACTTTCAGTTTACAGTAATTTGCGAGTCATTAAATGGACCCACTCAGTTTAAGCCCAAATTGGGAACCTCAACCACAACACTTGCTGTAGACGGACCAGCTAGGTGAAGTCCAAGGATCACACCACAGCTTTGAAAAGACTTGGGAAACCACGTCCAGGGCGAAATTCTGGCCAAAAGCCCTCATCGAGTCCAAAGTGGACCATTTCCTAGCCTCGGGGAGTTTACCCGTGTAGGGTAAGGAGTCCAAGCTCTGGACTCAGACAGAACTGGACTTTAATTCTAGCCCCACCATGTGCCAAGTCTGTGACCCTATTCAAGTTACGCGATGTCTCCGGACTTCAGTGTCCACACCAGAATGTAGATTATTCCACCAGTAACCTCCGGCACTTCTGTGAAGATAAGAGCTTATTCAAAGCAGCCGGCCCCACATGCCAGGACAGTGGATGTCCAGCCGGTGACGCGGTGAGCACTGCGGCTGCTGGCACCACCGCGACCCACACACCAGCCCCTCCCTACACGGCCAGTTCCGGGGGGTCCCTGCGGCACTGCCCCCGCCAGCCAATGGTACCTAAAAGCTTGCTGCATTCATCAGTGGACTTGACCCTCACAACACTCAGATGAAATAAATACCACTGGCATCTCTTTAGAGAGAGGAAAAAAGGAGGCACAACTTGGAAGCGGATTCAAATCCAGATCTGCTGCCTCGAAAGCCTTTGTTCGTGGCCAGGAGATGATGTACTTTTAAAATAGTGTCCTCACTATCATCATGCAAGCACGGAAAGCAACCTTCCCGATCCTACCCCCTTCTACAGCTGCTGTTGGAATCCGAGAACAGCTCACCGCTCAGAGCTGACAGGTGAATTACAGTAAGAAGTGGGTGCAGCTCTGTAAGGAAATCAATAACCCCATCACTGGAATTAATTCCTTTGCAAGATTAACTCTTCTGAGCTCTTGGATTCGCCTTCCAAGGTGGCTACACTAAATTGATGAAATTAGCATACCAAATAGCTACTGCATTAAAAATTCAAACAGCCCTCTTAAAAATGCCTGATGAACTTGCTGAGAGAAGCTTATGCAACCACAGGTTCTGGCCTAATAATTGCAAAGTGCTGGCAAAATGCTAATGCCATTATCTCTGGACCCCAGATTCTGCAGGAAGGGAGAAATCTGTTTACAGAATCGGTGCTCTCCACCACACACGTTTGCTCGGGGCTTTAAAAGGTAACTCTGACTTAACGTAGCCCCTCATCAGGTATTGCAGCAATGCAGAACCACTTGACCTCTACACCCACAGAAAGAAGGGTCTGGGGTTGATTTTCTGCATGGATGCGTGAGGTGAGACCCCTGGGAGATGAATGTTAACTCAGGAGGGACAATAAAATGTAATTTTAAAGGATTTCAGTGCTGAGAGTGATATATTTACAAAAAAAAAAAAAAAAAAGATTAAAGCAACACTCGTCTGTTCTACCACAAAATGCACCCATGTCCATGCCCTCCACCCGGATAAACTGATGCCAAAGGATCAGAAATGAAAAGCAGTGTGTGTTCCCTTCTGCTTCTGCAGAGGCCCGGGACCTGTCCGTCCCTGGACAGGGGTGAGCAGAGGGGTCAGGTGCTGGCTGAGGTCTGTGGGGCAGGGGGTTCCCTCCACATGGTCTGTTGGAGGACTGATGTAGTTAATGCTCAAGTCTAACATGGCCTGCTAGCGGATGATTTGTGTTTTTAATTAAAAAAAAAAAAAGATTCCTAATTTCGCTCCAGGGAAATAAAAAGCCATTTTGAAAACGAAGGAGAAAGTAGATGGAGACAGACGCTTGAGCTCTGGGCCTCCCTTGGAGAGCTGTACGCAGATGCCCCTGCACCTTGCCAGGCACACGGGCTTCCCTTTCTCCTCGGGACAAGTGCAGGGATTTAGTTCTGCCTACTCTGTAGACGAGAAGACGGAGGGGCAAGCAGGTGAACAGACTGACAAGGGTCGCACAGCCGGCATGGCTCAGGTCTGCTGCGGAGGCCCCTCTCTCCCCCAGACACCCGGGCCCCGGCGGTCACACTGCGGGCCCACCTACACTCCCCAAAGACAGAGGAGGCACACCCAGCTTAGCTCTGCTCCCATAACCAGGGCTATGGGGCCTGCCCCCGACCCAGCGTTATCACATATGGACAATCCCCTCTGGCAAGAAAAAGCTGGGGGAGCAAGCGAGCAGACTGGGCTCTGAGCCAATCCACGCGTCGCTGGAGAGGAACAACAGTGAACGGTGAACAAAGCTGACGGCACTACTCACACGCTCGCGTGGGGCTTCTTTTTGGAAAAGTCACAGGCGAGACCGAGATCGGATATCCTGACGTGTCCGTGCTCATCCAGGAGGATATTTGCGGGCTGAAGAGAAAGACAAGATGATCTTCAGGAGTTCCCAAATTGTCATAAGCTTTGAGAATCTCTACAACCACAGGAACGTGATACCCTATCATTTTATCTGAACACGAATTCCACACTATCACATCCAAGTTGGGTATGATGCTAAAAGTCACACTTTTCATGTTTAAATCCCACAGGAAAGTGGCAATGACAGACACAAAGGAGTCTACTCATGAGATAACGAGACACAAGGCACGGAGCTTGCAGGGCTGATGACCACGGTTCACCAGAGTTAAAAAGTACTTCCCGCTCCCCACCCCCCGAATAGCGAACAGCGGCCCAGCCAGAGCCGCACACCTCTCCACAAAGGGAGCGCGTCCACCAGCTTCTCGGCTTCTGCGAACCACAAAGGCCTCAGGGGATGAGCCCACGAGGCACAGGACAGAAAGGAATCTCACGAGAATGTACCACCATGGACCTAAGAAATCAACACATTCCACAGTGCCGCACCAATCCCAATGAACGGCATTTCTGCTTCTGAGGACAGAATCAGAACCCAGGACCTCACCGAATGACCCAGGATGACTGTGACCACAACTCTGATGAAATGTATCTACTGAGATTAGATTTAGCTGGCATAATCATGGAAAACAAAGCTCCTCTCCCTAATATACATTGAATTACAGTCATCTTAATATTTTCCTGCTGGGGATCAACTATTGTTTTGCTTGAAATAAAAATAAATGGCATGCTATTATAAAACTGAAGCATGAATAATCATGAGTGACTAGAATTCAGTTTGAATAGAAATTAAAAAATACCACTGCCTACTGAATAGCTTAGAAAACAAAACAAAAAAAATACAGCATAAACATGATTAAAGACCGATTACAGATCTAAATTAAAATGTATTACAATAGTGCTTCATGGGCCTTCAGCATGTAGTTTATTCTTCTGCAAAACTCACACGAAGGAAACGAAATGTCATGCGCCAACCAGTGTCTAATTATTTCTAATTCAATGAAAATACATTTTTTTCTTCTTCATGCTCAGATGAAAACTAAGGAGATAATTTCGTAACCTTGCAGAAAGCTTTAAATTTTACAAAGTGTTTTGTGACAAAGTAAGAAGCTCAAAAATAAAATATAATATTTTAGATTCTTGGAAGGCAACCTTAAAAAGCGAAGACAGCTAATCAAAACACAGCAGCTCCTGAGAGAAAGGAGCATAATCTGCACATTTCAGTCGGTTACACTGGATTCATTTGAGAAAGAATCTGAAAGAGAAGGCAAACACCTCCCCCCGGAATGTATTTACCCTGTTGGGAAACTGTCTCTCCTATCATTTTTCTCCTCGTTATTATGTGCACATTACTGTATTTGCATGATCATTTCTACAATTTGTCAAGGTCCCTTTTATCTCTATCCCTGTCTTCTCGCGATGAGTGTCACCACGGAGGTACCGAGCAAACTCCTAGCTCCCTTATGAATGCAGAACCCAGGACCGAGCACCATGGCCTGGAAGGGGGAAACTTGGAATAGACTCACTGCATTTTTTTCCAAATCCAGAGAGAATAAGAATGAAGAAGCCCAGACACAGCCGTCTGGGGCTCTGCAGTTCAGGGACCTAGAAATCTGTTAGTGATTTCGAAGACAGTCCTAAAACAATGTGAAACTCTCCGAGTGGCTTTTAGGGGAAGTTCTGCAGGTTGATCGGCCCTGCCTCCGACGAGCTAGGACTCGGCCGTTCTGCGTCTCGGTTCACCCGTGTATAAATCCCGGAAGACACACATTCTCTGCTTTTCATCTTTGTACATCACCAGTTCTAACACAGAGCCATGACCAAACCAGTTGCTTAGTGAACATTAAGTGCATTACAATGAACTGTCACATCAGCAACGCCAAGAAACTCCTACCTTGCTTTTCATTAATTCATTGCAATTTTTGAGTTGGTGTGTGTGCTGCGTCAGGCAGGGGAACACACATTGAGCTGGCAGTGACAACTAGGAAGGAAAGGAGTGCCTGGCACAGAGTTTAGAATCTGGACAGAGAGACATCACACAGATGTGACCTCACTGGGGCTGAGGGGAGGGAAATGGCATGTCCTATGAAAGACAAAGGACCATCTGGAGACCCAGGACCACAATACCTACTGCACAGCTCCCGGAAACAGAGTGCCTTACCTTCAGATCTCTGTAAACCACAAACCGATTGTGCATGTGTTCCAGCCCCAGGATGATTTCAGTGGCGTAAAACCGCATCTCCTTCTCAGAAAACACCCCGTGTTGTGAAAGGTGATAGTGCAAATCGCCCCCTGGAACCAGAGACGCAGAGGTTAATACAAAGTGTGTCAGTTCACAGGAAACAAAAATCGTTGCCATCCTAAATAGGGCACAGTTGAAAAGAGGCAAACTTTGCTTCTGCTTTGTCTGTGTATCTGTCTTTGACTTCTGTAGTTTGCCAAAACACTTTCAGAAGTATAGAGGAATCTCAAACATTAGAAGACTTTCATGCCGGGATGGCTGGGATAATATACAACACAGTCATCACTCTCAGACTGGGAGTCCAGCTCCCAGATGCACCTTCACAGGGTGGGGGTATGGGGCAGCTAGGTTATCTGCTTTGAGTATTTACATCCTATCTAGTAACTGGACCAACCATGTAATGATCCAGCAGATGGCTTAGCAACTGGCTCCGTGGACAAGAAAGAAAGAAGCACACAGAGAAACAAAATGATCATATTGATAGATATTTGGGAAAGCAGATACAGTAAAAATTTAACTGGTGAAATCCAGGGAGGTGGGTATGGGGTGTTCCCAGGAAAATTCTTTCCATCTTTGCCCCATGTTTGCAACTTTTCATAATAAAATGTTGGAAAAAGGCAATCATCATATGAGCTCAAGTTACAGAGACAGAGAATGTCACCAACAGGGTAAGGGAATGTTCTTATAAACTGTAAAGGAACAGCCTCTACTGATCTGGAGAAGTTAATGTGTGGCCAGCTCTATGGCCCCTGATTTTGCTTACGTATCTCGCCTTTCACGCACACGTGTTCCCGTATAACCACTGGCGGATCAAGATTTCCGGCATCCCAGAGGCTGCCCCGTGCCCTTCCCTGTCAGTGCCTCAGCGCCCGCCCCTGGTTAGGCCAAGGGACTCCATTCTGACCTCTTACCATCCCTTAGTTTTGCCTGTTCTGAGAGTCGCGTACATGGAATCACACAGGAGACATGCTATGGTGTCTGGCTTCTTTGCCCATTATTATGTCTGGAAAATTCCTCCATGTTGTTGAACGGATCTGGTTTTAAGTCAAACCCTCAAAACATAACAGAACCTCAAATGAACTTCCAAAAAAAAGGTAATTCATTTGCTATACTGTATGCATTTCAAGCTCTTAACTTGGAATATATACCATGTCACTCTCTAGTATTAGAAAACTATTTTTCCAGCTAGAACTTTCTCGGCATTTGCAGCGTCATCATTCATAGCTTAAAAGATCAATGGCTGGCTGGTCTGGGCTGAGGGTACAGAAGATTCGGCCCGAAGCCATGCTGGCCCACAGCCAGTCCTTCAAAGTTGTTTTCCGAATACACTTCTATCTTTGGCCTACGTTCTTATGAGGGATTTCATTCCTAAAAGTTGAGGGTCAGGAAACAAGCTAATTAAAGATCTAGGCCAGCTGCATTCCAGAAAATGCAGTTTCACTCTGCGTATTTTATGAAAATCTTTTCCAGAAAATGCAATTTCCTGGTGAGAGTCTAGGAGGGCCAGAGGGGAATGGTGGTCAACATTTTAAAATGAATTCTAAGGGAAACTTGAAGAGTAAGGTTTCCTTAAACCCAATTATCCAAAAGACCCAACCGCCAGGGTGCCTAGATCGGTGTCATGTCCCGGCGAAGTCTTTCCCTGCGTTCAGACTTCCTGCGTGTCGCTCACCGTTCATCAGATCCAAGATGAAGCAGAGTTTATCTGGAGTATGGAAGGCATAGGTCATACAGACAATGAAAGGACAGTCCTAGAGAGAAAAAGCAAGAGTTTGTAAGAAAAACAAAAGCTGTCCCGGGAAGCACGTGTTACCTGCTACCAAACAATATCCACAGCTTTTCTCATCCACATGGCTGCCCTGTGCGTTGAGCACAGACCCCTCCGTGGTACCCTTAATGGTCCCAGCAATACAGATCTGATAACATGACAAAATGCATAGAGACAGAGCATTACTAAGTGGAACAGATGAATTCAAAGGTCTCATCTCTCTCAGATTCATTCATGACCCTTTTATCTGCATCTTCTTCAAAGGACCCAGATTCTACAGAAAAATATTGCTGCCTTGCTAGTCTTTTTGTTGGTCAACATTTTTGTGCTGGCTAGTCAAATATCCATTTCAATCTCGGATTCTGACGTTGGAATAACCGTATTACATATATCACAATATAGGGAGGAAATCCCTATATTATTGTCTTGAAACACTGGGCAAGCATAGAAGGGAATTCAACTAGCTTTTCAAAGTGGAAAAATATACCAAGGTCAGGGACTGAATAACTCAACTATAAAGATGTCAGTTTTCCCCAAAGTAATCTAGAGATTCCATGCAATTTTAATTAAAATGAAAATCAACAAGCTGATTCCAAAATGTGTATGAAAATGTACACAGCTAGGAAAAGTAGAGACATTCTAGAAGAAAAACAAACCTGGAAAAGTTACATCACCAGATATCAAGACTCACTATAAAGCAACAGTAAATCAGACAGTGTGGTAGTAGCCCAAGGACAGACAAACTGACCAACAGAACAAAAGAGAGAATCCTGAAATAGACTCAAGCATTAACAGTCAATTGATTTGTGATAGACTGACAAAACAGGGTGGGAAGAAAGGATGGCCTTCCCAATCACCGGCACTGGAGCAACTGGGTATCTGCACAAAGGAAGTGAACATCTACCCCTACCTCACACCACACACTAAAGTCAACTCCAGGCAGACAAAGATTTAAACGGAAAACAATGAAGCTTCTAGAGGAAAACAAAGGAGAATATCTTCATGACCTTAGGGTAATTAAAGATTTCTTAGGCCACAAAAAAGCACTAGCAGTAAAAATATTGCTAAACTGGACTACAATAAAATTAAGAACTTCTGTTCTTCAGGGGTGCCTGGGTGGCTCAGTCATTGGGCGTCTGCCTTCGGCTCAGGTCATGGTCCCAGGGTCCTGGGATCGAGCCCCGCATCGGACTCTCTGCTCCGCGGGAAGCCTGCTTCTCCCCCTCCCACTCTCCCTGCTTGTGTTCCTTCTCTCGCTGTATCTCTCTCTGTCAAATAAATAAAATCTTTAAAAAAAAAAAAAAAAAAAAAAGAACTTCTGTTGTTCAGAAGATACTATTAAGAGAGCAAAAAGGCAAGTCACAGAAAAGAAGATATCTGCAATTCATACACACATAAAGGACTCACATTTAGAATATACAAAGAACTCTGGTAAATCGATAAAGAAGAAGGCAAACAACCAACAGAATAATGGCAAAAAAAAAAAAAGGCAGCAGTAGTAATAACAACAGTAATTAATTAATTTTAACAATGGGCACTTCCCATAAGAGAGTATCGAATAGCTCACGAGGCTCTGAACAGATGCTGGACCACAGTGGTCCCCAAGGAAATGTATTATTGCAATGTGTTATCGCTAAAACCCACGAGAATGGCTAAAATTAAAGAGACTGACAATACCAAGTGGTTGGAAAGATAGGGTGGAAATGGATCTCCCATATATGGCTTCTGGGAGCTCACAATGGTAGAAGTGCTCTCGAAAACTGGTGCTATCTGCCAAAGCTGAGCACCGTCTGCAAACCCTATGACCCAGCATTTCTACTCCCGGGTATACACCTCACAGCAACCTGGACTTCTGTGCACCAAAGAGAATGGCGTGAGACTCTTCCTCGCAGCACTATTCACAACAGCCCGAACTGGGAAGTGATCCGTCAGTGTTAGAATGGATGCATGGGGGCACCTGGGTGCCTCAGTCATTAAGCGTCTGTCTGCCTTCGGCTCGGGTCATGATCCCAGAGTCCTGGGATCGAGCCCCACATCGGGCTCCCTGCTTGGC